CTACCGGCCAGGTCGGGTTTTTGCAAGACTTGTCGAATCAGATGATCAATACGAATTATCACCTCGTAACTCTGGAAGTAATGCCTCAATTTCCTCGCAGTGACCAGTATAGCGAGGGCTAGTTTTTCGATTCTCTGATATCTTGTCTCTGCTCCCTGCAAAACCCTGCTTACAAAGTAAATAGGAACTTGGGAAGCTTCACGCTCTTGAACCAGAACTGAACTGACAGCACGGTCGGACGCCGAGATGTATACCAACAAGGGCATGTCTAGTCGTGGTTTTGTTAAGATCGGCGGGGATGCTAACGACTTCTTGAGCTCGGAGAAGGCTTCTTCACACTCGGTTGTCCAAACGAACCGGTCATTCTTCCTCAGACATTGAAAAAGAGGCAGGGCTTTGTCAGCCGCTCTTGATATAAATCGGGAAAGAGAGGCCATCCTCCCCGTTAATTGTTGTACCTCCTTTACTGTAGAAGGGCTTCTCATGTCGATGATCGCCGAGCACTTATCCGGGTTCGCTTCAATGCCGCGGTGAGTTAACAGGAACCCGAGGAACTTTCCCGCCTGGACGCCGAAAGAGCACTTCTCCGGGTTCAGTTTCAGCTGGAACTGGCCGATGGTATCGAACAATTCCTGCAAGTCGCCAAAGTGCCGACTGACGCTTTCCGACTTCACCACCATGTCGTCTACATAAGCTTCCACATTCCGACCAAGCTGATTCACAAGGATTTTGTCCATCAGTCGCTGATAAGTCGCCCCTGCGTTCTTCAGACCGAACGGCATGACTCTGTAGCAGAAATTGGCCTGATCCGCTATGAAGGCGGTCTTGTCCTCATCTGCGGGATGCATTCGGATCTGATTGTACCCCGAGTATGCATCCATGAAGCTTAGTAACTCGTATCCCGACGCACCATCCACCAGGCAGTCTATGTTCGGCAGCGGGTACGAGTCTTTTGGACAGGCCTTATTAAGGTCGGTGAAGTCCGTACACATTCGCCATTTCCCACTGCTCTTGCGCACCATGACTACGTTTGCCAACCAGGTCGGGTATTGGATTTCCCGAATGTGTCCTGCCATCAGTAGTTTCTGCGTCTCTTCCGCGATAGCCCTTCGCTTCTCCTCGCCGAATTTCCTTCTCTTCTGAATTACTGCCTTTGCACTAGGGTCTATGGCCAACTTGTGACACAAAAAGTTTGGATCAATTCCAGGCATGTCGCTGGAATGCCATGCGAATGCCAAGACATTATCCTTCAAGACCCTCACTAATTTCTCCTCATCTTCTGGAGTCAAAGAGGTGCCTATCTTTACGTTTCTCCCTTCCATTACCTCCACTTCCTTGACGTCTTCTGCTGGGGCGGGTCGGTGGTCAAACTGACCCATTCTGGGATCTAGCTCGACGGAATGGACCCCCCTCTGTACCTGCTTAGTGTACAGTCGTCTTCGTGTCTTCAAACTATCCCCATAGCATTTTCGAGCGACCTCCTGGTCCACCCTGAGGACCCCCACAGTACCATTTGGCAACGGGTACTTTAGCTTCAGATGGGGGGTAGACACGACCGCTCCCAACTTGTTCAAAGTCGGCCTGCCGATCAGTATACTATATGACGACTGAGCATCGACCACCAAGTACCGAACAACCACCGTCTTCATCTGAGCTCCTTGGCCGAAGGTCGTCTCCAAATCGGCGTATCCCCTTGCGATGACTTGGTCCCCTGCAAAACCCACTAGAGTCCCTGCATAAGGAATTAGTCGGTCGTTAGGAATTTTCATTCCCTCAAAAGTTTCCCAGAATAAAATATCCGCGGAACTTCCCTGGTCAATCAACACGCGCTTCACATTGTACCCCATGACGATCGCCGACACGACGATGGGGTCATCTTCATGAGGCGCTACTCCTTCGTAATCCGAATCCGAGAATGAAATCTCAGGCTGAGACGGTCGCCTGAATTCCGAAACTGTCAGTACCGACCGAGTGTACCTCTTTCGGGCAGCAGAAGTAGACCCCCCCCCGGCGAAACCTCCTGCTATGGTGTTGAAATCCCCATGAATGGGCTGCTGATGAGCTTCCGAGACCTTTGCAGTGGAGTCTCTGGGAGGAGATCTCTCTCTACGTCTATCCCTCCTTGCGTCGTCCTGTGTGCGTTTAGACCGCCTGTCGGACGACCCTTCTTCTTGTTTTCTCGCTACAAACTCCCTCAATCGTCCCTCCTTGATCAGGCGTTCGATTTGTCTCCCTAAGACGAAGCAGTTTTCTGTGGAATGCCCGTGAGCCCTATGGAACTCACACCAATCGGTTTTCGAGGGCCCCAGCTGACGCTCCGTCGCCTCTGGAAACTCAAAAAACGATGCATTGTTGACATCGTGAAGTATTTGTCGCCTAGGAACAGTAAGTGGAGTGAACTTTTCTTCCTCATTGTTGCGCCTCCATTCGCCCCTTGCCCGACTACCCTGTTCGGTCTGCCTGTAATTACTTTCCTTCCTGCTGTATTGGTCATGTCGTTTACTCCAGTCTGAGCGCGGTCGAAGATGCTTGTTTCCCTCCTTATTGCTGCTCCCTGCTTCTCGGTTCTCGGCCGCCCTTTTAATGATCTGATTCTCCTCCGTTTTGATGTGGCTCAGAGCGAAAGCCCTCACCTCCGACATCGTTTGACAGTTCGCTCTTTCGAGCGCGATGTCGAAAGCTCCCGATCTCAAACCTTTCTGAAATGCAATGACCGCCATCTTCTCGTCCAACGATGCCACCCTCATCGCGGTCTCGTTGAACCTTCGCAGGAAATCCTTCAGTGACTCCTCGCGTTGCTGCCTTAGGTCGAACAAGTCCGACGTGATCGGTGGCTTCTTCTTGTTAGCGGCGAATTGCGCCATGAAGAGCCGACTAAACACGTCAAAGTCGGTGATTGACCTGTCCGGGAGTCCGCTGAACCAGTCCAGCGCTGCCTTCTTGAGCGTGCCCATGAATAACTTGCACCGCGCTTCCATGCTTCCTCCACAGATCAGCATTTGAGCTCGGAAGTCCATCAAATGCTGATCGGGGTCCTGGGTCCCGTCAAAGGGCTCCACTTGGGGTGTGCGAAGATCCCTGGGAATGATCTCGGCCTCTATGGCTTCCGAAAAAGGTCGAAAATCCCTAGGGACTTCCATCATGACATCCTCCTCTACCGTCCTGACACTAGCTTCCAACCTGGCCTCCATCCCATCCGCTCGTCTCCTGAGCTCCTCATTCTCACGTTGAATAGCCTCCTCTCTCTCCCTGGAGCGCGCGTTCTCTTCTCTTAAGCCGTTGATCATGGCCATCATCTCCTCCATTGTAGGAGGTTGTGCATTGTTGTGGTTGCCGCCTCTCACCATGGTAGTCCGTTGGTTCTTCTCTGTGATTCGGGGCGTAGGAGCAGTTTTACCGTAGCCCCACGGTGGGCGCCAAATTGTTCCGGTCACGGGGTGCGCTAGGGTTTTTCCTAGGTCAAGCCGCAAAGCCAGAGCATTCAAAAGTGTAATCTGCCCTCTCAACTCTAGGGTTTTGGGTTTTATGGCACGTCGTTCATGGGCCTTTTGGGCCCCGAGAATGAAGGGATTTTCCTAACCGCTCTTATCTTGATGGTGCGGGGTTGAAAGGAACAAGTGTAGTCGGGTTCTGACCGACTAGGTTCATACCGAGGACCCAGTCGGGTTAATGCCGAGTGGTCTCCTCAGTCCTTACAGGTGAGAGGATTCTAAACTGGACTCAAATTACCTAGTCGGATTCCGACCGAAGGGACTCACCTCAAACGCTCTATCGAGTCATCACCGACCTCGATGTGTTACAAGGTATGATCGGGTTGTAGGTCATCTCGGATATCACCCGAGACAGTACAGTTGCCCTCCAGCCTCGAGCCCATGAGGCAAAGAGGCTGAGATAAGTGCGCACCGAGATACCCTGCCTTGGCCGAATAGATGGTAAAGTCGGATTGTAACCGAGACAGTACACTTACCATTGGAGTAGATTTGTGTTTGAGTTGCTTAATACTGACATGACACACTAAGAATCACTTTTTTCATTTTTCAATGCATGAAATAACTCAAATGAGTTGTTTCCATTGGAGATGCTCTTAGTACTTTGCGAGGCAAAATCCTAGTTTCCCACATACATCACTAGAGTAATAAAAGAAAAGCTTAATTGCTTACAAACCTACTCAAACCATGTTTCTCTCCGCTGAAAATATATCAAGTTTTAACATATAGTATTTGACAAAATGAAACACTTTAGTCTAGAGATGACAAGAAAAGTAAATTATTTAAGCTTTTCTATATCTTGATTCCTCCGAGACTTGAATTATTTGGGAAATTGAGTTTGATTAGTAAAGTCAAGTTTTTATGAATTTGCTACTATTTTGATGGAATATATAATTTGTATATCATCCATGAGAGAAGATACATACTAACAAGAAAAAAAAATGAAGTGTTGACAATAGTTGTCATATAAACAAGTTAAACCTATATAAGGTTGTCCAAATGATCCTAAAAAAGCTAGCCAAGCCTAGAAATGGGGATATTAAAATCCTATTACAAGACATGTTGAGTTTTTAAGTATTTGACCTCTAGGCATTTAGATATTTTACACATACATTCTTGAGGCAGAAGCAAGTCATCCATGTTTCTAACACTTGAGTTGCCCCTTTGCTAGTGATCCTAATGTCAGAATAACACACGATCTTCACCTCAAGCTATACTTTTTTTTTTTTTTTTTTTTCCCTTTTTTTAGGCTCAGCCTCATGAAATTCAACTTCCTTCATTCTAATCATGATCATTTGGCTCTAGTACACTTAAAGAGCCAATTACAATAAAAGAAAATTGGCATCATGCATTCTCATCCTCAAAGGAGGTCAAAGCAAGGTGACTTAGTTTCTCTAGATTGTGTGATATCTCTGTCAAAATTTTTGTTCCTTCACTATCTTTCTCATCTTCCTTGGAAACAAGCTCTAAGAACCCACTGTTTGCTTCTAGAGCCTTCACCCTTTCAGTAAGGAAAGACAGTTCTCTTGGTAGGGAGGCTTCACCTTCTTTTCCTGTTACAACATAATCATTGTGGAGAATGTTAATGAGCAAAATAGTTAAAGAAAACCACAATTTTTTCATCCGAAGTTTTATGTATTTCCACATTTTTTACTAAAGTAGTCTTTTGATGATCTAAAATGTCAGAATATTAGTCTTCTACAAATTGTCACCAATTAGTTTTTCTATAAGATGTCATTATATTCATCTATCCATCATTATACAAGACCTAAGTTGTTACCCAAAAGAAATTTATGACAAAGTAACTTGGTAGTCACCCAAAAGAAATTTATGACAAAGTAACTTAGTAACCAAAATTTTTAAGGACTAATGCGGTAATGCATGTAACTCTGGAGGATTAAATTGAATGTTTTGTCAAAATAATCATTAGAATTATAATACTACCTATTCATGAAGGCATGTTTGTTATATTACCTGTCTCATCGTCCAAATTACAAATACTGTCAGAGCTAGGTAGTAAGGAATAAATTCCACTTTCTGAAAAAGGTGTTCTATGTTCTACTTTCTTAATTCGACCAAGAAGATATGTTTTCTCTGCTTTAAAATCTTTGACTGATTCACTGTGTCTCATCCCTCCATTTTCTACCTGAGGTGACATGCCTTGATTAGAAATTGGAGCCTTTTCTCCCCCACCTTCTTTGAGCCTAAATGAAGAGTTAGCTTCCCTATTAAAGGAAATTTCTTCTGCTAAGGCTCCATATTGTTTTCTATAAACCTCCAACTCAGCTTCCAAAGCTTTGATCTCTTCCTCTCTTTTGATAAGCATGTCATTACTTGCTTGTAGGGCTTCTTCATCATACTCAGCCTGCTCCTCCATCATTCTCTGATACTGCAAAGCTTCCATTTGCACTGCTGCCTTCTCAGCCTGTAACCGGGTGATCATTGCCATTGCATTGTTGGCAGCAACAGCTGAAGCACTTCTTTCTTCATCTAGTTCCATGTACAAAGCCATGAGTGATTTGCGATCCAAACGTACTTGCCTCTTCAAGTTGCTTAAGATGGCATCCTCAAAATCATTCTGGGGATTTACCTCATTAGACTCAGAGGCAAATTCTGTCTTTTCTAGTGGCGATTTCCTATTAATCTTGTAAGTCCATCTAGGACTGTTGTTTGTAGAATCGGTGAGTGGGATTCCAAAGAACTTATTGCCCCTTGTAAAAGTTGGGGTTAATTTGCTTGAGTCATCATTCATATCCTCTTCTGGCAATATAGGCATGGAGGCAGATTTGGTGTGTTCCCCCCTTGCTGTATAAAACAAACATTATTTTGTACCATGCTTATAAGGTGCCATAATCACACATTTTCAGTCTCAAGTAATTTTAGTATAAGTTCCATGTCTATAAGCACAACAAATCAAAAGTTTAGATTCATTAAATAATAATAATAATAATGATGATGAATTTTTTTGTTGACACCAATGCTGAACTTATTTTAATATTATCTAAACCACGGGTGATTAAGGTTAAAACACATGTAGTACAATAAAAAATCAAATACCAATAGAAAGATAAATTACACAGTCTCAAGAAATTATAGTTGTGCATATACTCACGTTTAATACACGGATGCGGACTACTAACTTCCTCAAACTCTTGAAGCTCTGAATTGTGATCTGACACAAACTTGAGTTCTTTGTACCTGTTGTGAGGTAAGTCTAGAGAATGAGGGTCCTCATTTTTTGATGTTGAAAATGGAAAAGCTCGTGGTGAAGACGTTGGCGCTCTTGAAAATGATGACGAGTGTTTCACTTTGGCGTAGGTGGACTTGACTTTCAAAGGCTCTCCACAACATGAACACCTTTGATTGTTGCCTATATCAATCAACATATTCCCATCATCTTTCAAACTCAATTGAATTGGTTGGCCCTCTTGAACAAAGCACTCCAAATCCTTATGCAAAATCCCCACGAGTGACTTGTATGTGTCACAATCTGATTCCTTTTCGGTCGCAAATGAAAGCAAGCACCCCTCACACATCTTCCTTATGTCAGAGAGCTTCTTGTGGTTGTGACAAAAAGCTAAAGAGGACATGTCCTTCTTGTGAGCCTCACACACAGACTCATTGTAATAGAAGTCAGGGTTTCTATGAACCAAAACATGATCAAACCTGGTGCACAACCAACAAGGGATTTGCAACTCAAAGAACCTCGCAAACTCGTTGGCCACAAATGCAAGAAACCCATCAAGAAATAGTATGAATATCAACACCCACTCAAGCAACACATAGATCACAAAGTGAGCGAACTTCCCCATTTCTTGCTCAACAAAATGAGAAAATGACCTTGTGGCCATGTTGGTAGTTTTCTCTCCTTTTTGTTTTTGTTTTTGTTTTTCTCTTGTTCCTTTTAGCAACGCAACAACATGAAAAATGTGACAAATTGGGATAAAAATAATTACCAAGTTTCTTTAATCCGTAGTGTTGTTGAAGATAAAAAAAAAAAAAAAAAAAATTGGGTGTTGAATGAGAAAGAAAAAGAAAGGAACTTAGAATGTGGAAAGGTGTAGGAAGATCATGACCTTGTTTGGGGACGAGATCAAGATCTTTCTCTAAGCGTGTCTCTCTCTCAGTGGCACATTTGCAAAGGAAGGATAAGAAAATTGTGAAAGGTGGAACTGAATTAGCCTTAATTAGACGAAACAATTGTTGTTGTGAAACCATTGAAGGTTGATAGGCAAACAATTACCTAAAATAACGGTCTATCGTGTCTCTCTTCCAATTTTGTTTCTTTCCCAATTAAAAAAAATATACCTCATGTTTTTCCTATGGGAAAGCCTCATTGATGATGATATTTGAGAAATATTAACACCTTATCATTGTTAGGCAGAAAAAGAAATTTAACTATAAGTACCATTTAATTTCATTTACTTAAGTTTCAAGGAGAATTAATATAAAGTTTATTTATGATAAATTATTATTATTATAAACTAGATATAAACTTGCATGTTGTGTGGCTACTTATAATATATATATATATATATATATATATTAAACATT